ATCTTCTTTATCCATTCATCAGTTGATGGACACTTAGGCTCTTTCCGTATTTGGCTATTGTTGAAAGCGTTGTTATAAACATTGGGGTACATGTGTCCCTAGGCATCAGCGCTCCTGTATCCCTCGGGTAGATTCCTAGCAGTGTTATTGCTGGGTCATAGGGTAGTTCTAGTTTTAATTTTTTGAGAAAGCTCCACTCTGTTTCCCAGAGCAGTTGCACCAGTTTGCATTCCCATCAGCAAGGCAAGAGGGTTTCCGCTTCTCCACATCCTCGCCAGCATCTGTTGTTTCCTGATTTGTCCATTTTAGCCACTTCGATTGGTGTGAGGTGGTATCTCAGTGTGGCTTTGATTATTTATTTCCCTGATGATGAGTGACGTTGAGCATCTTTTCATGTGTCTGTTGTCCATCTGGATGTTTTCTTTGGAAAAGTGTCTATTCGTGTCTTCAGCCCATTTCCTCACTGGATTATTTGTTTTTTGGGTGTTGAGTTTGGTAAGTTCTTTATAGATTTTGGATACTAGCCCTTTATCCGATATGTCATTTGCAAATATCTTCTCCTATTCCATCGGTTGCCTTTTAGTTTTGCTGGTTGTTTCCTTCTCTGTGCAGAAGGTTTTTATCTTGATGAGGTCAATTGTTCATTTTTGCTTTGGTTTCCCTTGCCTTTGGAGATCTGTCGAGTAAGAAATTGCTGTGGCTGAGGTCAAAGAGGTTGTTGTCTGCTTTCTCCTCTAAGGTTTTGATGGTTTCCTGTCTTAGGTTTAGGTCTTTCATCCGTTTTGAGTTTATTTTTGTGTCTGGTGTAAGAAGGTGGTCTAGTCTCATTCCTCTGCACTTTGCTGTCCAGTTCTCCCAACAACCCCATAGATTAGTTAGAAATGTGTTGCCCAGTTTCTAAATATTTGAGGGAGCTTACAAATATTTTTCTGTTCTCAGGATCTGATTGAATCCCACTGTTGTGTAAAGAAACCGTTCGTATGGTTTCAATCCTTGTAAATGCATTGAGCTGTGTCTCACGGCCCACAGCACAGGTCATTTTGGCAAATGCTCTGTGCATACGCCGAAAGGTGTGTACCCCCAGCAGGACATCAACCAGGCCATGCTGGGTGGTCGTGCTGCTCACTTCCCCTCTGTCCTTAGGATTGTGTCCACTTCTGCTCTGGGACATTGAGAAAGGAGTGTTGAAACCTCTGTAATCCCAATCTTCCTCTGCTCTCTTCAGTTTTCTGCCAGGCTACTGTACTTCATGTGTTTGAAGTTCAATTGTTAGGGGCATAAACACTTAGGGTTGCTCTGTCCCCTACATAACCCATCAAGGTTATGTAGTGTCCCCATTCCTTGCTGGTTATATTCTCCACTCCAAAACCCACTTTGATATCAATATGGCCACTCTTGCTTTCTTTTCATCAGCGTTAACATTGGTGCCTCTTTCTCTTTGACTTCAGCCTGTTCGTGTCTGTATACGTATAGTGGGCTCCTTGAGGACAGCACATACATGGCTCTGTCTCTGTTCCTCACTGAGAGTTTCGACCACAGAGTGGGGTTCGGGTGCAGGTGGCTTTGAGTCTCTTCTCCCATTGTGTTCTCCTTGACCCCATGCTTTTTCCCTCTCCCCCTTCCTCTGCCTTCTCTTTGACCAACAGATTACTTTTTTCTGATTCCATTTTATCTCCTTGTTCTCTCTCTCTCTCTCTCTCTCTCTGCAGTTGCTTTAGTGTTCATAGTGCACATCTTTAATTTATTACAGTCTGTGTTCAAGAACTGTGCCGTTTCACATGCAGGCAATAAACTCACAACGGTGCACTTCCTTCTCCCGTCTGGGGCTGTGAGTGCTACCACTGTCACGCAATTTACTTCAACATTTGCTAAAGATCTCTTAATATATTGTTACTACTTGTGCTCTAAGCAGCCAATTATCTTCTAAAGTCATTTTAAAATAAGACAGGGGCACCTGGGTGGCTCAGTCGGTTGAGCGTCCAATTTCAGCTGAGGCCATGATCTCACCATTCATGGGTTCGAGCCCCACATCAGGCTCTGTGCTGACAGCTCAGAGCCTGGAACCTGCTGCGGATTCTGTGTCTTCCTCGATCTCTGCGCCTCCGCCACTCACGCTCTGTGTCTTTCTCAAAAATAATAAACATTAATAATAATAATAATAATAATGATAAAGTCATTTAAAAATAAGACGAGTACCTTCTTTTTCCCATTTCTGGTGTTCTCCATTCCTCCGTGTGGATGTGTGTGGGTGCCGCATAATTTCCCTCTGCCTGCGGGACCCCCCCCTCCACTGCCCTGCAGGAGGGCTCTGCAGCCGCCCCTCTGGCATTTCCAGGTGGGCGATGCTGCCCTGTCTGCTTTGGGTTTTCTGTCTTCTTCGCTTGAGGGCTGGTCACCCTGGCCGTTGCGTGCAGTCTGCCGGGCCCTCAGCGTTTCCTCTTTGTCGCTGCCACGGCACCTGCACAGGGGATGCTTTGGCCTAGTTATCTTCATATTTCTTGTGCTTGGGGTTCATTGAGTTTCTGGGTTCCATGGGTGTACAGTTTTTAACGAATTCGGAAAAATTTGGCCATTGTTTCTTTGACAACCTTTTTCTCTTCCTCGCCTCTCCTGGGACTCCAGCGACACACAGGCCCCCACTGTGCTGTCCCTTTTCATTCTTTGTGTCCTGGGACCCTCTTCCTCATGCTTAGTCTTCAAGTCCGCTGATCTTTGCCCCGCAGACCCAAGTGGGCTGTTAACCCCACCCGGCTATTTTTCCGTCTTTAGAAGCTCCGTTTGTGTTTTCTCTGTTTCCCGAGGCTCCCCGACACAGCCGTGCCCTCCTCTGTCTGCTTGAATATGGGAAATACAGTGTCTCTTTTCATGTGCTTGCCCATGGACATGACCAGCGGTGGCGCTCATGGCTCTAAGGACTGTCTTCTCCCCACCACGGGTCACCTTTCCCTCCTTTCTGGCATGCCTGCTGGGGTTTTCAATTGAGTGTCAGGTACTTAATTAGATGAAATTTATATTGTAAGATGCTGGCTTATTTTCTCTTTTAAATAATGTTGGGTTCTGTCTCAGGATGCAATCTAGTTAGTGGAGACGATTGGACCCTTTCAAAACTTGCTCTTATGCTCGGTCAGGTGGAACTCAGTGTGATCTGTGATCACTCAGTGTGATCTAGGCTCAAGCAGGCCCCACAATTAGGGCAGTTTCCTTCTGAGCACTCTGTCCGGTGGCCCCAACTTCCAAGGTCTCTGCTCCCCACTCACGCAGGTGACCCCCAGGGCCTGTGTGACTCTGGGGACTGGTTTGCCTGCCCCCTCTCAGCGGCTTCTTCTGCCTCTTCTTAAGTTCCTCAAATGTGTGCATGGAACCCTCTGCCCACCTCCTAGCTCTCTCCTGGGCAGTTCTTCATCCGGGCTCTGCCCTGGAAATTCCAGCTGCTTCGGCCTCCCCGCCTCTCCACTTGTTTCCTCCATCAGGGAGACCGGGGGCTCTCTTTGGTTCCCCTAGTGCTGCGGCCTGCAGCCCCTCCCTTCACCGGAGTCCCTTTCCTCCAGAATCACCGTGTCTGTCTGCCTGTCACACCATGTCCAAAAAGCAGTGCTTTGTTTACACTCCGTGTTTCAGTCGTTTAAGGAGGGGCCATAAACCCGTTCTTATCAATTCATCACGGCCTCATGCTGAAGCCAGTGACATGCTCTGGTTTTGACCCATGTGTTTATTCTCTACTCCGTTAGAGTGTGAGCCTCGGGAGGATGAGAATATTTATGGGACATGGGGCCTCTCGGAGACTATTGGCAAATAGGGGGACCAAACACCCAATCTGCCCAGAGAGGTGGCCTGCTTGGATCCAGAGGTACTCCATCTCCTTCAAATGAAGAAAGAAAAAAAAAAA